GAGAAAATAAGAAACCACATAATCTGAAGCAATTGAAGAACAACAATTGTCACAACAACTAAAATCTCTTAAATCTTCGACGATAAAATATATTTTTAAATCCAAAGTATTCTCAATGATTTGTATGGATGTAAGGAGCCAAACTGAACGTCGCGGCTCGGGTAAAAATGGTTCGGACTTTTTGGCCCTAGTTGAGCCAAAGCTTGGCCGAAAAATCAAGGCTCGACTGGGAGCTTATCGAGCTAAGTCGAGCTGGGTAGAGCCGAGTCGGTTCGTATATTTTTTAAAGGCGTGAAATTCAAATTTTTTTAACAATATAATTATGTGTAATCTTGAAGGAATTATTTGATGACACATGACAATATAATTATGATTTGGACAATATAATTATGATTTGACAAGACATTGAAGATTAAAAAAAAAAACTTAGCCGAGTCTACATTTTAAAACACGGGCAAAAATGGTATGTGACATAGGATGGCCTGTTTGGCTTGCCGAACCACATCGACTGGCAGAAACTTGGGCCGATGCCCAAAAATAAGGCTCGACTTGAGCCTCTGTTCAATTCTCTCGAGTCGGGAGCAAAGCCGACTCAAGTTTTTTCCAAGTAGAGTTATGGGCTGTCTGAGCGGCAAGACAAATTTACATCCACATTGATTTGTAGCAATGAACATTTATGTTTTTAGTGTTCATATCTAAGCCCTAGTGTGATGTAGATTGAAATAAAAAAAAATTAGTAGATTTGGATAAAAGTTAATAAAATATGTAAATAAAAAGTTGCGACTCCTGTTACGGGCCTATGTCAGACCCGCCACACATCAGTAGAGGTGGTCCACATCATGTCACACGTCGACCGAGGTGATTGTATATGGGACGAGCTGATTGTACACACCAAAATGATTACATAAGAAATGAATTGAAAACGCTTTGGCGAAAGAACCAGACTCATTCGCAATTACATTGTAGAGGCAAAGGCCCGCACTCCGCTTCTGCAATGCTGCAACGCCTCTCCTGCCTCGCCTCACCCATCAAAGATCTCTTATACAAAAATCTTTCCAAAGTCAAATCCCCGATTGATGAGACGTGTGGTAGGACCCAAACGGTCAATTCAGCTGTCTTTGTCAGGGACATTCAATGCCAACCAACCTATAGAGGGACAGATTGACACCTAGAATTGAATGATCCCTGAGGATCTGATAACACGTGTCTCCTCATCCAACGATTCTCTTCTTCCCATCTTTAGTACAAATATCCCCTCGTGCTAGAAGAAGGATTGGAATCCTACACATTCTCCTACAATACATTGCCAATTCAAGTATTATCTTTTCCCGTAAGTACTGGCACCCTATCACTATACACTTTATCAACCACTTCCCGATGAGTGTTCTACCGTCGGTGAACCTTTTCCGATTGAACTATAAACTGACTTGACCGTTAGAGTGCTTGCGACCGCTCTCAACCCCTTTGGGAAAGGCTACGGGTGATTAACGGCATGCTACGTTTGTAGGGAAGAGTTGACTCGAAGACTTATTATGTTGGCCACGCGTCGAAGCCATTTTTCGAGGTCAACAACTCCTATGAAATGTGAGATTAAAATTAATTATTAACTTTAACTTAAATTTTTATCAAACTATAATTTCCGCCAAGAGCTAAGTTTACCTTAATTGTTTAGAATTAAGTCGCATAAGGTGCTAATACTCCAGCAAGCCAAGTGGCATATGATCTGGCAGACCAGAGGCATGAAATTGTAGTATTTTTAAATTTTTTTTTTTTTTTATATAGATACAATATAAATAACACAATTACCACTTTGTATATATGAACTGTGAATCATTCATACTTTACTATATGTGAAAAGTAGACCGCTCCACATGAAAAATTACAGTGAAGAAGAAAACCTATGTGAAAGAACGATGTTAATCTACCTCCCTTGTATGAAAATGGGAAGGAGAAAGATCGTTTTTTTTACATATAGTATAGTGTAATTTTTCACGTGGAATGGTCTGCTTTTGTGTACAATTAATTATATTTTACATCTATATTAAAAGGAAATGACGTGCATAAGTCCAAGTCTCAATTTAATATTGCTTCATCCCATAATTCTCTAATGATTTAAAACTAAAAATTAAAGCTTCCAATTAGACAAGAACCTTAATTATTCAACACAACTTCCACCATATAACCTCAAAATTCTAACATACAATTAACAGACTTTTTTTTTTCTTTATGGAGATATTAGTTTGGTTGTTGAAAAATGTCTTATGTAATAAATAAATAAAAAGTCACATTAATTAGTTACTATTTCATGCAAACCCCTTCACTTGTTTCTTACTTCCGTTACAAATTGTGAGAGGTCAAATGACCACTCTCTCTTTCCCTGTGTGCATAACCCTACTCTTTTTCCACTAGAAAATCACTATTTCATCCCTTATTTTAAAAAAGAATTCCTAAATTTTCCTGCCAAAATTTAGTTTTGACCAAGCTTACATCTTAAAGATGTAACTGCTTTTGTTGTTTTGGTTTCTTCCTAATGTGCTATGACACGTAATATGTATTTGGTACGCAATATTAGACTTTTAAAATAGGTCTAGAATGATAATTCTGAGTTGATGTTTGCTTTAATTCACGGTATTGTAGATGATTACTCTTACATTTGCTACCGATAATACATCGAGTTCTCTCCCGAACTGGCAAATATTGCATTTGGGATTCAATTACAGCGAAACGTTAAATAATATGGTGGAATTGATTTCAAGAAAAATAAGGAGGGGATGATTTAAGCACTCGTACATTCATCATGCTGAGAGAAAGTTTCAATCAAGGCTTGATGGAGAAGGATATAAATCACTCGCTGAAATAAATAAATAAAATGATTTATTAGGGTGATTTATGACGTCCCTCTTTTCATGCTTTTGTCCTAAAGGAAGCTCATAAGTTATATACTCCAATAAACCTCAGCCGTTGGATTGTTTTTTCCATCAACGGCTGTGATTCCATGCAGCTAGGTACAAGGCTTAGTTATAGCTCAATGTCCCACCATTGCAAAGGGAGTTTATAGAGGAAAACACAGAGAGTTTCCTTTGATGAAAGCAATTTTGACTGCTAAAAAACAGTTCTTGTTTCAAGCCATCTTCTCTCTCTATATCTTTCATGGAAGGTGGAGGAGAAGATTCTCTGTCTAGAAATTTAGGAAATAACCCTCAGTTGCTTCATCCAGGCCCTCAATTAAGTGCCATAGACAGGTTCTTATGGAATCACAACACTTTCTCTTACCAACAAAACTTCCCTTTGGAAAATCAACCATCTCTCTATGGGATTTCTCATTTTCCTTCTAATGAAGTAAATCAGTTTCAGAATTTTTCTTCAAATGGCACAACCAGTAATTACACTACTGGAGAGCCAAGCTTCATGGAAGGACTTCTCCATGGAAAACAAACTTTGGCTGAAAATCTTTCAGTAAATGTAAAACCAGCACTGGTTAATCCTGACTGGAAGGAGAAGAGAGGGAATGGTTCTTCTTCCGGATATCAGATAAAAGGCCAGTGGACAGATGAAGAAGACAGGTAACATTAAAAAAAAAAAGAACATTTTGGTTTCATTACATTTATGTTTAATTTATATTTACTTTTAATTTGATTTCATGAAGGAGACTGATTAGCTTAGTACATCACTTCGGATTGAGGAAATGGGCTGTAATAGCTGAAAAAATGGATGGTAGAGTGGGAAAACAGTGTCGTGAGCGATGGAATAATCATCTGCGTCCTCATATCAAGGTTTTTTTTTTTTTGGGTTCACTCTAATTTCTACTTTTTGATGTTTTGTTTGTTACTCAAATTTTACCACTTTGGCATAATATTATGAAATGAACTGAATTCTCCTTTCTGGATCTTCAGATTCTGCCTAAATTTGATTCATGGGTTTTTAACAGATTTTTTTGCTTTGTGGGTCATGTCCAAACTACTTTGGTACTTGAATTCTCTAAAAATCAAGTACATTTTTTTTTTAAAATATGTTTTCAAGAAGATGGTCCAATTGACCTAGGGTTTGCGTTTGCAATTTTTTTTTTCTGTGAAAATGTCTAGGGCTTGGTTCGGTAATCCCAAGTTTGATGTGTAGAGGTTTCAATCTCAAGAGGCAGACTTTGTCTACATACAGTTTTCACGTTTCCTTTTCCTAGTTTGCTTCTGTGTTGATTTTCATGTGATTACTAAAACTTTTAACCGACAAAGTATCATATTTTCCTAGAAAAGACATCATCTTTAACATGGAAAAATGTTTTTATTATTTGTTTGTTTTTTATGGTTTATTTCAGAAGGACGTTTGGACTGAAGATGAAGAGAGGCTGTTAATTGAAGCACATGATAGACTTGGAAATCGATGGGCGGAGATAGCTAAGTACATTCCTGGAAGAACTGAAAACTCAATAAAGAATCACTGGAATGCCACAAAAAGGAGGCAGATTTCAAGGAGAAAAGTAAAGAAACTAGAAGGAGATAGAAGACAGTCAACACTATTACAAGATTACATCATAAAAAAGTATTTCAGTAATGGTTCCACCGCCACTAACCCAAATTCCGGCACCACCACCGCAGCAAATCCGTCCAATGCCGCCACACCGCTCTCTGACGATGACGACTCTACATTTTTCAGTTTCGAATCATGCGACGACGAAATGGATTTCATGAAAAACCTGTTTGAAAACAATCAGTCCATCGATTCAATTCTCGATAATTGTCAACCAATGAATCCAGCTGAATGGACATCTGAGAATACATATAGCATCAATAGTGATGAAAATTATAATCATCCCACCAGCTTCTTCACTCCCCCAGGGACTTTACAGACAACTGATTATCAACTACCTGCTCTAGAATATGTGGAAAATGGATTATTCCAATCTGCTCCAAATCCTCTGGGGAATGAATTTTTCCCTTCTGCTAATTCAGATTTAATCATGGAATTCAATTCTAACTTTCGAAGTGTGGGGACTGAAGCTTCACAGATTTATCCTGATGAGTTTTACTTTTCATATCAATGGGATCGAGGCAATGCTGAAAACATGAATTCAATTATAAATCTGCCAACAATTGATCAAGGTACAACCTTTGGAAGCACAATGGAGACGGATTTGATGGATATGGTTTCATCTTCTCAGCCGCCTCCTCAACCAAGTCCATACAATGGCTTCTTCTGATCTGGTTAATAATTATTATCCAACTAATTATTGTGTTTTATCTTAGTTAAAAACTCTATAATTTTACATATATCTGTAAAACTGAATTCTGCTACTTTGTTAGAACCTCTAAAAGGGAAATTCAGGCATGTGTGTAATTACAATCCCAGATTATGATAATCTGTAAACCGTAACGGATTGTGGTGTGTTGCTAAAAAAAATATGAATGAATCTTGTTTTTGTGTATTATTAAAGTGACTGGCTGGTGTCACGATTTTCTTACAGGTGTTGGTTTTCTGTTTTATAGCTTAAGTTTGCATGCATGCACTTGCACTGCCCTTAATTGTTTAATGGTCAAGTCGAGCCCAGCCCAGCCCGACTGAGACGATGTTCTTTTCTCTTCCTTAATTTCTCTTGCTCTTATCTTCGTTTTAGTCAATAGTTTCTGTGGGTTACATGTTTCACTTTAAATTTTTGGTTCTTTGCCACCAACTCAGTGAAAAACCACGGAATATGCTCCCAAATGGCTAAATCTCCATGCATTACGCAAATTTGCATTGTTTTCTGAACAGTGATGGATGCTGCAACTCTCTCTATACTTTAACTTACGTTCAACATACGTCTGATATCACCTTAGACTTCGCCCCATTTTATTTTCCTGAAAATCAGATTTATTTACTTTTTTTGGTAAATTTCGATAAAAATTGATGAAATGTGTGTTTGAAAAGTTGATAAAAATTGTGGGTACGATGTATGCTGCAACTCTCTCTATACTTTAACTTACGTTTGACAGACCTCTGATATCACCTTAGACTTCGCCCCATTTGATTTTGCTCAAAATCAGATTTTATTTTTTTGATAGATTTCTGTTAGGAAGTCTAACTCCACCTCATAAAACCGGCTTGTTAGGGGAGGATTGCCCTCACCTTATTAAGTGGATCATTTATATTTTCCCAAGTAATTTGGGATTCTAATACGCCCCCTCACGCACAGCGTGGGCCATGCCAGACAACTGTGAACAAATCGATATTGGGTNCATGCCAAACAATTGTGCACAAATCGATATTGAGTGGCACCCAACATTGTATAATTGGGTCTAGCTCTGATACCATGTTAGGAATATTGAGCCTAACTCCACCTAATAAAATCGGCTTGTTAGGGGAGGATTGCTCTCACCTTGTTAAATGGATCTTTATATTTTCCCAAACAATGTGGGATTCTAATAATTTCGATAAAAGTTGATAAAAATTGTGTTTGAAAAGTTGATAAAAATTGTGAATTCCATGAAATATGGTTAAACATTAATTATTAATTTCGACTTAGATTTTTATTAATTTTTTTTAGCTAAATCAATTAGTGCTTTCGTATTCATATGTACGTGTGTGGTTGTTAAGACGTTTTATAAATCATTCTAAATTATTATGAGCGGTCAACAATATTGTGTCGTCACTCTAACTATAATGTATTGGTAGTTATTCTGAATTATTACGTGGTTAACGGTATTTATCGTTATTAACGATAATACTGTCGTCCGTTATTTGTATATCTATTAATGATGATAACTGTTGTCTTATCATTTACGATAAAGTATCGTCATGCTATTATCGTTTTTCTTTTTGTCATTGTTAACGATAATAACCGTTGTGGTCATATCATTAACATTAATAAGATGTCACTGTTAATTTGTTGATTTCGTTAATTACTTGTCATTAGGCTTATTACCAACTATAGAAAATTTAATTTTTCAAGCTAAATGGAAGGAGTAAATAATTCTTATATAAATATTTCCTAGTACGGTGTCAATAATGTTAGTAATTACCATAAAATGACATGTCAAAAATCTAATGTGTATTATTTTATGTTAGAAATAATATTTAATTTTCGAGACAAACACTTTCTGACCTAATTTCTTACGTTTAAAAAATCACATTTATCTTACAATTATTAATGTTTATTACCTATCTTACCCTTGAGCCTAATTTTTTTTTTAGTATGGACCATTTCTCTATCAATATTTTGGGAGTTTCAATTTAACATTTTCTTTCTGTTCTTCTACTATTCTTTTCCCTTTTCTTTTTTAGTGTGTATTTTCGGGATTTTTTTCCTTTTTTCTTTCTTTTATTGTTGTAGCTTGAATTTTTCCAACGTTAATGGTCACTTTCTAATTTTTCTTTTTTGATCAAGTTTTCTTAGGTTCTTAAGGGTAATTTAGGTATTAATAATTTGTAGTTTACGATGTTTTAAATTGACAAATGATAGAGTGATATGTGACATTATGTAACATATTATGTAAGAGTAATGCTACTTGCAGTCGCTCACTGCAGCAGTCGCCCTATGTGGCACACACGTGGCATGTAGTTATTTGAAACATTAATGTGATAGTTTCTTATCACATTTAATGCATCAAATACACACTTGACATGTGTATGCCATATAGGGGGACTGCTGCAGTGAGCGACTGCAAGTAGCATTATTCATTATGTAAAGTTTGATATACATATAGCAAGGTCCTTAATTAATTACGACAGCTAGGAATGCTCACAATAATAATCTAAGCAAGGTCAATGTGGATTCGACGTGAATGTTTGTTGCTGGACATTAATTTACGCGGAAATATCAAATTTTCGTATATAAGTATGTCCCTATAATTAATTAATATGTAATAGAAACTTCGTGACAATTTTTTGTTACATCTTATGTTATGAAAACCCTCGATATTGAATAAGTTGTAGAAATGTTTTTTAATTAATAGTGAAACGTGTTCATTGTTGCTTTATTGATATTTTAATGGTGAATAAATTAAAAAGTATTTTGATAAATAAAAAGGTTGGACAATAATGTGAGGAGTATTTTAATTTTTAAAGTATACCATAAACCCTACCCATAATGATATGGCCTATGGGCCGAACTCTTGAAAACAGGGTAAGGGTGGCGAACGGATAGAATCGAGCAAGCTCAGCTCGTAAAATTACAAGCTGGCTATGGTCGGTTGGGTTGGTCCAACCAAGAAAGGCATGAAAGTCTTTGGACGTGAAAAGCTTCACTTTCTTTTAGATTTGATGCCCACGGTTTGATACACTAACAATCAAACCAATTTCGATGAAAAAAACGGAAAGTACAAGCAACTACATAAACAACCTCTATTCGATACACACACATATGATACACTTTCTTCAAACCTGTCTTGAGCTCTTGGGCCAGGTTCACGAATTTCTTCAAATTATATGTCCGTATAATATATTTTATTATTCTTGATTGCTTTCATCATCATTCTCATTCTTCACGGAACCGAGAGGTTAACACTTCTACTTGCTTCTACTCAAGTATGATCCCGATATTATCTCTTATCCAAGCTTGTATAAGAAGATGTAAAATATGTACAAGCAACAAAAATCACAAAGGCCCAAATAGCCGGAGCAGGCATGCAGGTTCATTTACATAGGCATATCTATTTTGTACAGGAAGCCACCTGATTTTGTATAGCACACGACACAACATTGTACTGATGTTAATGGGCAAACAGAAGACGAGAAATGCCCGAGGAGTAGTACTCAAAACATCAGATGGATTTATGTTGCTATTTCAAATTCTGCAAGGGCTTAAACTCTTTTCATACACAACCATAATGGAGGCTGAAAGTTAAAATCCACAATGAGTTTTGTTTTAGAAATAGAGAAGCTATTCACAGAAAAGATCACTATCATAAAAATGTCACAACATTTGAGAAGCGAACTGTCATTGATTGCACAAGTCTTAGTGGCGAAAATTATAGGTACAATGATAAAAGAAACAATGTAGAATGCCATTATTCTCCCCTCATTTACAACCAGCTCTCCTCAACCTAAAATCAGATGTGAATAATTCACAAAATGGATTAATCAGTAACATTGTTAAGGAGTCAAGAAACATCAAATAAAAATGATGATAAAACAAATCAAATTACACCACTTTTGTACTCACCTCTTAGGCTGATTCAGGTGACAAGATCTCAAGTTCAGCCCACCAAAGAGGAGATAATTTAGGTATAACTTCATCATGTCCCAATCCCGTGATCTCTTTCAACTTAGATGTAACATCTCTCATCGTTGGTCTCTGTGTAGGGTCGGGAAGAGCACATTCTTTTGCAACCTGAAGCAATTTTTCTAGTTGTTGCTCGTTGAAAGATTTTAGAGTTGGATCCACCACTTCTCTCAGTGGCCTCTCTTGCCTCAAGCAGTCCAATATCCAGTCCACAACAAAACCATTACCCACTGAATATGGAAGTCTACCAGTGATTATTTCAAACAATATTAGTCCAAAGCTGTAAACATTGCTTTCTGGTTCGACCAATGGAGTCTCCAAGAGCTCCTTGTTTGCTGGTCCCATTTTTGTTGCTGTTACTTCATTCCAGAAGCCGAAGTCTGAAATTTTGGCTGCATAGTCTTCTGTTAGATATACAGATGAGGATTGCAGGTTTTTATGGGTCATAGGTGGTGAGAGATGGTGCATATACTCGAGGCAATATCCTATGCCCATGGCTATGCGCAACCGTGTTGCCCAGTTCAAGTGCTCCGATTCTTTAACTACAAAAATCCAGAGTCAAAAGGTAGATAAGTTTAATGCAGATCCAGTTTCAGATGGTACATAAATATTATTTTGTTGAAGTATACATATTACTATGCACCACTTACAGAAATTTTCACTCTCAAATCGCAAAACACTACATTAGGAAAATCAAAGAGTACATACATACTAAATTGAATTCACAATATAAAATTAAAAAAAGTTTCACCATATTCCATGAAAAAAACTCTTTTTTTCTTCTATTCATTTAGAGCATGAAAAACGCTTGAACTAATTAATTATACGTGTTATGACATTTTATAACTCATCCTCAGACTCTCAATCAGATTGCCATCCGGGTTTCGCGTAGTTGCTCATATGTCATTTTATCTACTGAAAAGTTTTGAAGGTTCTGTAGAAATAAAAAACTTGCAATATTGTTACTTGTATGTTCATATTTGTCATTTCAAGGTTTTCTTTTACGCATAATTAAACCGAACTAGTTTGGAAATAATTAGATCCACTAGAGACTTCTGTAGGGTTCTTTTAGGAAAATTTTGGTAACTTCTACAAGAGAAGGAAGTGATATTTATGTCATAAGGGCAATTTTGTTACGAGTTGAATAAGTCAACTAATAGAATACATTATCATCATCCATTATCAAGCCCAGATCAGCTGTCCCCTTGGCTGGCCTGTCCCTCAATACATTTTTGATATCTCGGTTATTACTTCTTCATAGCAAATAATGTGCTGAGGCATAAAAACATGTGTTGGTGGTGTCTTTGCATTTGCTAAGAAGAGGAGAATGCCAAGATGTCAAAAAATGTATTGGGGTGACAGCCAAGGGGGTAAGTGGCGACAGATATCAACTCTCCATTACCAAGGGGATTTTAGTGACTTTTAGAAACTTCAGAACACGTTTGGGATTTACCCCAAAATGTAGAGGGTGAACTGAAATTCTTCAGCCATGACATATAATTTGATAAGTAGTCATGACAGGAAGCCCACCTTTTTGGAGAATTTCGTTAAGGGTTTAATTTATAAGAATAATGTTATTTAGCACCAGTGGTGGCAGAACACCAGTTTATGTGAAATTATGTTATAGGTTCAATTGAAGGTGAAATTATGAGATTAATTTAATTGTATCTTTTATTTAATAACACTTAGTGTCATTTAGACTGGTGTTATATAATACCAGTTGTGTTAAATAACATTTCTCAGTTTTTAAATAGATAGAAATGAGAGATAAGTGGATATATTTGTGGGTCCATTGGAATGTATGGTTGAAAATGAAGTTTGGCCATTTATAGATGATTTATAAATTTTGCCAAATGGAGTCTTAGGTGTGAACTGCAAGAACCTGCTCCTTTCCAGGCATATCCTGCACTTAAGTTGTATGTAAAGATGAATGTGAGAAATTGAAGCTGCAGTTGAACTTACTGTGTAGATGTTCAAACAACGTCCCGTTTGAAGCATACTCAAATACCATCATTCTTGTAAAAGGCTCCACTTCTTCACAATATCCAATAAGGTTAACAAAGTTTCTGTGATTCAGTTTTGACAGTGTGTCTATCTGAAGATAAAGAGAAACATCAAATAACAGTTACTGAAATTAATGCTAGAGAGAGTTCAAATAATTTTTTGTTTTGACGTGCCTTGTTTCTGAACTGGGCTTCTAAATTCTTCGACCAGTCCTTAGCTGACATCACAGTAGTAGATGTCACTGCTATCTCAACAGCACTTGAAAGGGTCCCTTTGTAAACAGTGCCATTAGACAGTGACCCAATTATATTGCTGAAATCTTCACAAGCTATCTCAAGTTCTGATCGGTGGAGCTTTGGCACACCTGGCATGACAACTTCCATGTAAGTTCCCATAAGTAATGTCAAAGCAGTATATCAAAGTAACAATGCAGAAGTTGATAAAAGGAACATGCCATCAAGCATTCTTCTTTCCTAGATAGCTATATGCTACCGAAACAACTTTTGAAAAAGGAGGAAGCTGAAGGTGCTTTCTAAAGATAAATAAAGCAGCAACATTTTTCCAAAATTTTCAGGTTTAAAGGATAATCCCTGGTCAGGGTCACTGATCAGTGGGTCTGAACCAATCGACAACCTTTCAGACACATTTAAAAGTGATAAATGACCTACGCATATATTTAGGCCCCGTTCTATGCTAAGCCATCATTTGTTTCAATCCAACTGCAAGAAGATTTAGGCCCCGTTTGGGAGGGCTTAAAATTCAATTAAAATTGAAAATATGGCCGTTATTGGGTCCCACCCGTCTAATAAAAGTCAACAATAATGACTATATTTTCAATTTTAATCCGATTTTAATCTCTCCCATACAAGGCCTTAATGTAAACCTGTTGTTTGTAACTTCACGAGAATTAAGAGTAGTAACCTGCTACAAATGCTTTCCGCAGCTGCCCACTTAACCCTGTTGCCCAAGGTTTAACAGTAACAACCTTAATTCTGCGGAAATAAAAGAAACAAAGGGCTGATACAAATATGAATAAAGAACTTCCAATTATTCCGGGCAATATAATTATCAGACGACGCTTTGGTTTAGATGTATTTTTAACAGTTAGGCTAGGAGCTGAAGCATGGGTAGACAGTGGAGCATGAGACACCCTCCGTGGTCCAACAATGATAGGTGGATATATGGGAGGTGCTGAAGATGCCCTTGGTGAAAGCTCTCTGGATGCTGAGGGAATTAGAAACTCTGATGGTGAAGGAGACTCAGAGACTGAAGAAGGTGATATAAATGTTGATGGGGGAACTGATATAGAGGATGACGGAGTATTAGGAAACAAGACTGAAGGTGATGGCGACGGAGACGGCGACACTGGGGATGAAGATGGTGAAGACGATATAGAACCCCCCTTATTAGGCCGATCCTTCTCGGCTTTCATCAAATTTGGAGAAGTCGTCACTTGCAGCAGCTTCCGCTGGCCTATGAGTCCATAGTGCATGGTTTTCCTGACAAAAACAGAAACTGTCAAGACCAGACAAGCTAAAAATATAATTAGCTAAACAGTGCTCTATTTTGAACATTTGTCACGTGCAGTTCGTTCATAGCAGTAAGAAATTAGTTTTTCTTTATTCCTGTGATAAAAGCACAAGATATGATATTCTGCCTAGTCCTCTGTTCGTATAGCGGAAGCTTATTCAGCATGTCTAAAATTGCTTTTCTTCCTGCGAACCATATACCACAAACTTCCCATCAAATCTAGACAAGGGACATCAGCTTAAATAGACATAATATTTACTTACATCTCTTCAATAACACTACACAAATGAAATGCGTCAAATTGTTAGTTGAGGGGTCCTTAGTCCCAGTTATAGAATAAATGATTCAGCTGAAATTTTAGACATAACGTGCCATAAAGAAACAGTGTATGTACTATATAAATAGGTATATTTAAGTGGTTATTGTTTTAAACTTTCACTTCCCTAAATCATCTCTATTAAAACACTAATTACTTTTTATACAATTAAAATAAAAGTGGAAAATAGGATACATTTTAGAAAACTATGTCCATCAAATCATTAGTTGTGGACCATTTCATCTACACAAAGGCAAGTGCTTTGGATAATCAATGGGTCGGTAAATCTGAATCCAAATTTAATGAACGCTCGTAAATAAAATAAAATTAGAATCCAACCAGCAGTTATTGAAAAGTCCTATTTTCATGGATCAAATGCATTGCGGTAGTTTTTCTTTTTCTCGATGAAGGTGCTTTAGGACTGTCAATAAGACTAACTTGTCATGAATGGAAAGAAACTGGATAAACTTTGAATTTCCTTTTTGTTTGGATTTCATTTCCTTAGTTCTTATTATCACATTAACTTATAAGAGAACCACAACACTTGTAACAGTGTACAATATTACCCAGAGTAGAAATTAAAATCATAACAGCAATCTAGAACTTCCGTGAACAGTGGTTAATGAATTTACAACAAGGTTAACTGACAATAATACTTGTTTCTATTATAATACCAATTTCTATAGTATAACTATTTCTATACACCTACTGCTTCAATAAGTTTATCATGGATCGTGTAAGCAAGCTTTACTACAAGATACTCAGTATAAACCACCTCAATGAACACACGCGCGCCTCACTTTTCCCACCAAAAAGAAAATTTCAGAAGATAATATAGGATTACTATTTCTTATGTTAAAACCTTCAATGTGCAAGATAAACTTCTGGTTATGGACACTTACCGAACATTGGATTGCCAACGATGACTCGCCCTTAAAACATTAGTAGTTGGTTGATCATTAATCACTTGAGACATGGAAACTATCTTAACATTGTAAGTTTCAGCAGCTATGCTATTTAAATATTTGTTATTGTCTAGTAAGCTGCAAAATAAATAAAAAAGTTCCGTTAGCACAAACTCATAAGTACCATAGACACAGTGGACAAACATGTTTTTGCTAATGCCAAAAAGAGAGAGAGAAGGAAAATTTTACTCACAGGATTGACATGGACAATTTTTTGTGAAAAATTGAGGGAAGTGGACCGCCTAAGTTGTTGTTTCCCAAGTCCAAGACTTCCAGCTCCTTCAGTTCTCCAATTTCTTCAGGAATAGTTCCCCAAAAAGCATTATTCCGTAAGATGCTGCAACAATGGACACCACTTGGGTTGATATATGCCGGAACTAAAGGTGTTGCGAGAATAATATAAAAAATCAATTTGAAACAATAAATGGCATGAAGATACACTCACATAGACTTCAAATGAGTAAGCTGTCTCAGTTCAGGTGCCAATTTTCCTTCGAGAGAAAGATCCCTCAAATTCCTACGAAAGTATAGGTATGACAATCAAACTCACAAAGCATAAGGATCATCCAATTTGATTAATTTAATGAAGCATTTTGTGATGCTAAACATTTTCAAGGACATAGATTAGGATTCCTACACAGTCCATCTTTAACTATAGTCCAATATCAGATGTAACTGAGCCAAAGATCCAAATTGTGTAACCAGAGCAGCTAAGCAAGAATGTAAAATAACCACCAAAGTAGTAACTCATAATAGGGTTTACCCCAAATTGCGAACGAGAAGCAGCAAATTATATCACTTAAATTCCCCAACAACATCAATCCTTTCATGTTTAATACATACATTAAATTTTGTACATTTAAGATTTCCGAAATCACATAGTCGAATTGCCATGCCTCCTATGCTTAAGAACAATAATATTCAATCATCACAGAAAAATCACTGTTTTACCCATCACACTGACTCAAAAAATACACTTGCACACACAGAGATGCACATAATATCCATGCAGATAATGGAATCAAATTATAGGAGAATTTACTAACAAAGTGACAACTTTGCCATTGAAGCATTTGACGCCGAACCATGAGCATGAATTTGAACCTCCAAAACTGAAATCCCAACTCGACAGAGCATTAAATGGATCTGTACTCACTCTCTCTTTAAACTTCAACAATGCCATACCTGCACACCCAACTCACATTTCGTTACAAAACCAAATACAAACATCAAAAGAACTTTTTACAAAATAATACTAGAATTGGAGAAACTGGACCTTCAGTATTGTGAGCCCAACAGAAACTTAAATTGTAACAGAACACAGCATATGACAACATGAAGATCACCACCATCCGTTTCCATCTCAATCGCTGGTCCATTTCAATCTTCAAAAACTTCCTCTAAATGGGATTCGGTTTTAAGCCCGGAACACAAACTATTCCGTCGACAGAGAGGCGATAAAGCAAAAAATACCCAAAAACAATTTACTACTTCATATGCTCCACGGGAAAACAAGAAATTGCATAGAAACTGGTGAGTTTAACAGATTTTTAAATTTGGATTGTGAATTTCAGAGTAAAAGTAACTGAAAGAAGAAATTTACGGGAAAAGAAATGCGTGTGAAATTGAAAGATGCCGATGAAATGCAGCAGTCAGACTAGACTGGGACTGCGACTTGGATCTCTCTCTTTTGGCAACTCCTTCTGCCTTCTCTTATATATAGACGCCGTCTTGCAATTCTCACGTGCTAATTAATAAAATTTCATTTAATTTTTCTATTTATCTCGCTCAAGTTACAGTGGTCGTAATATACCCATTGATGATTGATCTCTCTCCCGACAATTTTATTTTTTCCCAGACATATATGTCGTCGATACTAAATTCATTACATTAAGCCTATGTTTAAGCTATATTAACATTTTCATTCTCATTCTTCGACTCATTTTCAACCACACATTCTTCAATAAAACAATATTTTCCATCACATCAATAATTTTTTATTATTTTTCAACCACACATTCTCCATCGATTTACTACTCCAGAATACATTCTTCCAAAATAATGTGGCTCAAACACACCCTAATTTACAGCTAAACGTTTTAACCAAGTATATTCTAAACTTTATGTGAAATTCTTAAAACATAACTAAACGTGTACCAAGCATGACATTTCTCAAATATATTTAGTACGTTAAATTGAAGAGAATTATATCGTTCTTCTTTTAAAAAAAATTGGGATCGATTGAATTCGTACAATATATGTATAATTGTAAGTAGAGGTACAACAAATTAATTGAAAGGTGCAAGGTCACTTTTGTTTGGGGCTAGCTAGAGTCTTGGTTTTGAACCAATTGTTGTGGTTGGGATGTTTATTTTCAAGGGTCCATGGAGTTGTTCTTTCATTTTCCATTTTTCTTGTAAAACAAGTAGATGTATCTAACTTGTGACTAAATTTAGCTGCCACTTCTATTTCATAGCAAATCAAGTGGCAATGACATTGGTCCACTAACGGATACCACTAATTCTAACCTTTTTTGTGACGTATTCGTTAGGCTTTCTAGTGAAGTACAAGCAAATTACAAAATCAATTTTGCTACAAGTCT